CGCTCCGCCGAGGAGCCCCCTCTGGCGCCACGCGGGGCCCCGGGACCGGTCCTTTCCCGTGGGGACGCGATTGTCTCTCCGCAGATTCAGTATTGCCCAAATTTCTGACTTCTCGTAGGAAAATATGCCCTGCAAGGGCGTTTCAGGGAAGTAAATACATTATAAAGTATTAATTGCCGGCTCTGCTTACACCTTCACTTAGGAGGAGAAAGGGATGTTTGAAGTCTGCTATTAGTAGTTACTCTGAAAGACTTCACAAACTTTATGTCGTGATGTCAAATTAGGAGACAAAATCAACGTACTCGAGGAGACTATGCATGAAGACAGTAGTGTAATGTGTAAGAGAATAAAGCTGTTTTACATAATTCAGGTTTTAAATCTCGCATAACAATGTGTTAGTAATACAGACTTCTGCTAATGAGTCTGTAAGAAGTTAGTCATCATTTTTAGCTGTTCACTATTTCATTTAGTGACTAAGTAACTGCATGAATGTACTGAAAGGAAAGCTGTTGAGACAGTTTTACCGTTCAGTGTGGTATAAAAAAGTATTCATCTGTGCAATAAAGTATCCTAAGTAAGTAAATAAGGTAGAGAAGGAATATTTTATGTGATTCTTCTAGGCTGGGACTGCTTTTTTTGGGTCTTGTGTTGTCTTTATGCTAATAGTGATATCAAATGTATTTTATACTCAGGCCTGGTGAACTCTTTTGGTTAAATTTACTTCACACAGGCTTTTATAAATAGGAGAAATCTAAATGATTTGGCTAAAATATACTCTTACTTTCTATTGGCAATAACAAACCCACATTTTTTTAGGTAGGTGGTTTTCTAGCAACCACAGATATTTTGCACATAGCATAATAGTTCTGTATGAATCACTTCCATTTTATTTCATAGGCTGGTCGCCTGCTGATACGGAAATTAATTGCAGAAAAGTTGTGCATACCTTGGAATGAAATACACTTGCAAAGGACATCAAAAGGAAAACCTTTCCTGGCAAATAACGTATTCAGTATCTATTCGAATTACAACTTCAATGTCTCTCATCAGGGAGATTATGCAGTTCTTGCAGCTGAGGCTGAGCTTCAAGTTGGCATTGATATTATGAAGACTAATTTACCAGGTAATGCATTATGGTGACCAAAGCAGATTCTGTATGTTTAAGTGCTGAACGTTTCTCAAAGAACCAATCCGTGTCCTAGAAATCTAGTGTAATTAGAAGAAAGTGTATGAATGTGTTGTGTATTTGCTTTTTTTTTATTGTTAAATGCACTCCTCGTGGTTTATTTAGGGTTTTCTATTATGCCAGATATGGATATATTTCCAGTTTAGAAAAGCAGAACTCTGGAAAAAGAAGGTCATGAATCCTGCTATGATACTGGCAGGACCGTCATCTGCAGATATTTTAACTATGGGTTTGCTGTCTGTTAGGTAGAAGCAGGGACAGCTTTCCAACTAGGGACAGTGGGATCCATCCCCATGAGAAGTTTGTAGCCTGTGACTGTGAGTGTTAGTTCCTTGTCCCATAAGTGTGGACGTTGTACATGTCAGCACGAGGCCCAATACTGTAGCAAACTGGCATCAAAGATTTGCTATGAGTGTGCAGAAATCCTCAGTGAGAAGGGATCATGAGGGAACGTTTGAGGTGCCCCTGGTAAAAGACAAATCTTCACAAACTTCAGTTGTTGGCCTATCTATTTGTATAAAATGTTGTGCTAACCTGAATATAGTAGTAAACTTCAGGACCCAAATTATAAATTAAATTGTAGCAAAATGTATTTTCAAATACAGTTTTATGAAGATCATTTAGTTCACAAATGTTTGTCGATGCATGACTGGGTTAAAGGAAGAACATACTGGGATTTACAATTTACTAGAATTTTAGTTTTTGAGAATCCTCCTCAAGTGTTTAACCAGATATGACAGTAATAGCTCTGTTCTTAGAAAACCTCTCTTCAGAATCTTCAATTTGCCCAGCATTTTATGCTACAGAATAACTTGTGTAGTAAGGTAAAGATTCAAATAAACCCTGACTGGATAACTTTCTCTCTGATCGCTTTACACCTTTTTGATGATTATTACAAGTGTACATTTTTTGATTGGCATGTTTAGCTAGGATGCACAGAAACTTTACTACAATCCAAAGTGAAGTTGTTCTTCTCTGTGACTCACTTCCATCTACTGTAGACCCTCACCCTAAAGATGGTGGTCCACATGTGGCGCCACACTGTAGCCCGTGGAGGACCCCACACCAGCACAGTTCTGTATTTCGTGATGGGAACTGTGGCCCGTACATAAGGCGGGGACCTGGAACAGGTACCCCCCACAAAGGGTCTGCAGTAGTGGAGGGCCCAAATACCAGATTAAGCTCGAGGCCAGTGCTTTTATCATAGCTCTCCCGAGCAAAACAAAACAAAGGGATGTCCCAGCTGTGTCCCCTCCCAGTGTCTTGCACACCCCCAGCCTATTTGCTGGGGAGGCAAAGTGACAGAGGAGGCCTTGATGCTGTGCAAACACTGCAGCAGTAGATAAAATACTGGTGTGGCATCAACACTGTTTTAGGCATAGATCTAAAACACAGTGCCGTACAGGCTGCTATGAAAAAAACCACCCAGACCCAGTACCCTTGGAAATACTTTGGCTGCATTTGCCACAGGCCTGACCACAAGACTCCCCAACTACTCATTTTAAAAAGCTTTCCCGTTTTAGCAGGTAAATAGTGAGAATCAAAACGTTCAAACATTCTTCACTGTATTTTAAGCTTTTCTTGGGAAATGAAAAATTAGAAGTCATTTATATATGACATATATGGAGGTAGGGATATCTTGTATGCTCTGCTGTCATTTTATGCATCTGGAAATGTAGCTGGCATTTTAAAGACACGTTGCCGGTGTCCAGCTGACAAATCTTATGAAAGGTGATAAACTCTCCTTCTGAAAGTAGGAAATAATTGTAAAGAGTAGAGGTTTAACTTTACATTTAGGTTTAGAAACCTGTATTTGTATTACTTCTCCATTTTAGAATATAATGCATTCAACTTTGTAAGGGAATATATTCTTAGTTCTTTTCCAGTTAATAGAAAAAAATATCTTTTAGCTTCAATATTAGCTGACTGTATTGAAGAAAAAAAAAATCTCATCTCTACTGCTTCCTTTCTCTTGTATTTTTTACTTACTTATTCACTATTCCTTTCTCATTTCCCTCATGTTAAATTGCTGAAATGGTGGATAACTTGATGTCCATTGATTTATTGCTCATTCTGCAGGCAGTGTCAGAACAAATCAAGGTTCTTTTGCCTTGTGTCTGAGTGTATTCTTCATTCAGTGTCCCTCGTCACTGCTGTCATAAGAGGTGTGGAATCAAAGTTAGGCCATCAGTATATATTGTTGCTTGCTCTTAGTTATGTTAACTTTAACAAGCTAAATTTAGGAAAAAATTATCTTGAGTTCATCCTATTGATGATGTTTCGGTTGCTATTCTGCTTCTGTCACACAGCTTTTTGATTGCCTGTCCTAGGGTTTCCAAATAACAACACGAAGCTGAAGTTTAAAGTAGGATTTGGTAAAGAGTTTAATCTCAGCAGAAATGTAGGAAAAGCGGTGAAACCAAACTCAATTTTTAGTTAAGTAAAAACAGGTTTTAGATACAACATTCAGTTCTTAACTTCTTCAGTAGCAAGAGAGGCTCCTGCCAACGTGTCCTGGAACTGTTGATGGCAGCAGTCATGACCTCTTACCATAAAGCAAATGTTGTCACATCCCCCTGGGCAGCTGCACTCAGCAGCTGTGTGGATTTAATTTGTGAATATGAGCTGGTGAGACCAAGTAACGCTTTGAGATCTGATGCAAACAGGCTTCGGTGTTTTTACCCACAGGGAGAAAAAATGGTGGTTATTCTGGAGATGCTTGTGATTCCAAAGACTAAATGATGGAATTAAATTGGTGCTTTTGTAATAAACTGATACTGCAAACCTATGTATCCAGATGACCAATCTGAAACGAGCTAGTGACAGATGCAGCCTGCTAGGATTCCTGAACATGGGTCCTTTATCCACCTTTATCCATGGCTACTTTATCCACCTTTATCCATGGCTACTTTATCCCCCTCTCCCTCTTTTGTCAGGGGTCTAGGTATATATTAACAGAAAAAGGGGTTGTTAGGGCAAGTCATTGTATCCACACTCTCAATTCATGATGGCAAGCTTCACAGTGTATACAGAGGAGTAAAAAATGCATTGTTACAAAATTTCTGGCTTTTCTTTCCAAGATCTGAAGTTCCGCACCTAGCATAGTGTGCCCTGAAGTAATTTAGCTGTCAACAGCTTGTATACATCTTTTCTATCTTTGGATAAGGAGAGAAATGAACTTCAGTGCTTGTCATTATACATAAGAAATAACTGTCATATGTGTGTCAGCGCCTGGTTGTGCAATTGTTTTCCACATTACGTAACTTTACATAAATATTTGTGAATTAAATAAAAAAAAAATCAGGTTCCAAATTTTAAAGAGGTTTTGTTTATGGCCATACATCTTCCTTTTTGGAATTATAATTTGTATTTTTGGAAAAGAAATATGCTAGCAATGAAAACTTAGCAATTGTACGTGGGAAAGAGCCAGCAAATAAGTAATATTAAGGATAGAATTTTAAATTACAGTCTCTGTAATATGAACTAAAGCTAGCAGTTCTTTCACCTAAAATTTTTCTGAGAAAGATTTTTGTCTTAGTAGAATTACCTGGAACTGTTTTTACCGTTGTGCTATGAATATATGACTTTGACTTTGCCAGTATTGTTTTATCTGATAGTTCCACTGAGTGGTGCTCTTGCTCTGCAGTTGCTAAGTACATTGTATTTCCGAGAGTGAATCCACTATAAATCTCTTTCTCTGGAATAGCTACAAGGACAAAGAGTTCCCTATGTACAAAGTACATTACAGTAGTTTTTTGGGTTTTTTTCAAAGGCTTGTTTAAATACAAAGTACTTCTGTGATGTTATCCAACAGAATCTTGACTGATGTCTCCAATATTCTAGTTCTTATATTCCTTTACTGTTCAGCCAGTGAACAAAATATGCAGTGCAAATATACAAGAGAGTATCTTGCAGCTGAAAGTTTCAAGAAATATGCTATTAAATTGTGTGCTAGCAGTAACAAGGAGACCTAGTGCACATAAACACTTTATGTCACTTCTTAATCTGTGCTATCTATTTTTGTTTTACTTATGTGCAATAAGAAGCCACCTCTTTCCATATTACTTTTGCTGCATTATTAAAAATCTGAGAAATGAAACTACTACAAGACGTAGCCTTCTTCGAAGGTGAAGGCAGGCCACACAAGGAGCTATTCTTAGCAGTGCAAATAGAGACAGACCCCTCTATTCGGATATTGAACTAAATAATGTAGTGATGGTATAAAAGGAAAATGTCCTCTTTAGGTATTGTGTGTGGTTATCCGGCAGGTTATTGTTGTAGATTTAAAATCAGGCTTTCAGTTTACTTGTTTTTGAAGAATTACTGAGATCAATGATTTTTTTTTTTCTTCTCTTTACATCAGTTTAAGATGAACTCTTGAATCATTTGGGAAAATGCACACTGTACTGTAAATTTGTTAATGGAAGTAATTGTGGACATTATTTGACAAGAGAGGTAATGCATATGAAATTATTTTAACCCTTTCACATAAGAAATGAGGATTCTCACAGTACTACTAACTCCTGTGGAAAAACTCAGCTTGTGATAATGTATTTGATTTTTAACTTCTGGACAAGAAATTTTGCAACAAGTGTCAACTTGGTTTAAGTGGTGTGTGGGATGTTGATTTACCAGTCACTTAAACCCTGTAAAGTAGAACATTCTCAGAGACTTAGGAAATAATTATAGCTTAATAAAGATCACTTTGTGCATTTGAAAAAGGTTTAGATCTTAGGTTCAAGAGCTTTCCTGCTGTGCAAGTGAATTTCTTTTCAGTAATGCAATTTTTTAGCCTCAATGGAATTACAAAGGTAAATAAATTAACAGTTCATTCCTGATCTTTCATAATCAGCCTGCCATCTTTCTTACCTATTGCTTTACAGTTACTTTAATCCAGACATCCCCAAACTCAATGTAATTCCAGAATTAAGTATTTG